GGCAGCGGGAGCCGGTGCTTGCGGGGGCTCAGTCTGGATGAGACCAGGCCCTTGTGCCCTTAGCATCGTGGGAAGGTTCTGGGGAAGGTGCCGGGACAGGACTCAGAGCTTCATTCAGTCCCCCGGAAGGGCTCAAAACTCTCCTCGGCTCAGTTCTGGGAATCAGCTGGCTTCCGCCCTGTTAATTCGGGGACGGGGCTTTTCCAGGTCAGGCCTAGCTGCTGTGGCACCTCTCTGTGGGCTTCAGTGGTGTCTGGCCACTTCCCCAGCCTCAGGGGTGTGTTTGAACCAGCCCCCTGTCCCACCAGCTGGGAGATCTCACGGGGAGAAGAGGGCTGCGGCTGCACTGGGGCGTTGGCCATCAGCTCACAAAGGGCCAGTGTGATGCGTATTCAGGGCAGGGGTGCAGCTGGGCTGTGACCGGGCCTTGCCTGGGGGTCCAGGCTCAGCCCCACGGTGCCCCATGGAGGCAGGGACATTTGCCTCCCGTGAGATCAGTGTCCCACCCCAGAGGGAGGGCGCAGTGCAGGGGAGGAGCCCAGAGTCCAGTCCACATGGATGGGGTTCCAAGGCCCCCCTGATGTTATCCTCTCCTCCCCCTCCCCCCCACACACACTCCTGTGCCTCTGGAGAGTCCCCGGAGGGCACAGGTGTCCAGGGGCAGCCATGAGGCGGGGGAGGGGGGGGGGGTCACAGCTCTGCTGAGCAGCCACCAGAGGGCGCAGGGAGCTCACGGATGGGCATGGGGTGCGGGCTGTCCACAGACGCCTCTTGAGGGCCACTGAGCTCATCAGTGGGGGCTAGTCAGGCCTCTTGCTCCCCCAACCCCGGTGCTCCACAGGTGCAACCCTCTAGAGGACCCCTTGTTCCTCCTGCCCCCACTCCACAGAGCCCCTTTTGCCCCACAGAGCCCCACCCCACTGCCCTCCCCCCATAGCCCCCTTTGCCAACACCACAGATACCCACCTTCTCCCCCTGACACCACAGAGCTGCCCGGGCTCCCCCAACCCCACACACCACCCTTCCTGTTCCCCCTGCCGCCCCTCCTCTTCCCCCCACACACACCCCTGCCCCCAAACTGACACGCTCTCTTCTTACCCTAGTGCGAGGCCCCAAGCTGAGGCGCTGGAGCCCTGCAGTGGGTGCTGGGGACTTTGCTTCTGGCCTTGCTGCGGGTCAGGCATTTTCCACAGCAGCTGCCCCAGCCTATCGGGGCATGGTCCTCTCTGACCCGGCCCCCGAGCAATGTCTCAGCACAGCACGGCTGGAAGGCACAGCATCCTCACCGCACATACGAGTCCTCAGTCGCACTACGGGGCCTACGGTGTATGGCCAGGACACACGCACACACACAAAATTCCCAAACACACACACACACACACACACACACACAGACAAAATTCCCACAATCAGGAAAAGTTAAGCACATATTCTTCTGCTCCAGTCTGCACTGGTTAGGTCTCAGTTGGAGTATGGTGTCCAGTTCTGGGCACCACGTTTCAAGAAAGATGTGGAGAGACTGGAGAGGGTCCAGAGAACAACAAAAATGATGAAAGGTCCCGAAAACATGAGCTATGAGGGAAGACTGAAGGAATTGGGCTTGTTTAGTTTAGGAAAGAGAAGGTTGATGGGGACATGATCGAAAGCTTCAGAAGGCTAGGTAGTCTGTACAGACTAGGCCAAGTTAGTCTGTACAGGATAAACTTAAAAAACAACAAATAGTCTGGTAGCACTTTAAAGACTAACAAAATATGTAGATGGTATCATGAGCTTTCGTGGGCACAGCCCACTTCTTCAGAGGACATGACAGCAGTTTTCAAGTATCTAAAAGGGTGTTACAAGGAGAAGGGAGAAAAATTGTTCTCCTGGGCCTCTGAGGATAGAACAAGAAGCAATGGGCTTAAATTGCAGCAAGGGAGGTTTAGGTTGGACATTAGGAAAAACTTCCTCCCTGTCAGGGGATATGTCTACACTACCCCCCTAGTTCGAACTAGCGGGGGTAATGTAGTCATCCGCAGTTGCAAATGAAGCCCGGGATTTGAATTTCCCGGGCTTCATTTGCATGAAGCCGGCCGGCGCCATTTTTAAATGCCGGCTAGTTCGAACCCCGTGCTGCGCGGCTACACGCAGCACGGAGTAGCTAGTTCGGATTAGGCTTCTAATCCGAACTAGCTGTACTCCTCGTTCCACTTCAGATTAGAAGCCTAATCCGAACTAGCTACTCCGTGCCACGTGTAGCCGCGCGGCACAGGGTTCGAACTAGCCGGCATTTAAAAATGGCGCTGGCCGGCTTCATGCAAATGAAGCGCGGGAAATTCAAATCCCGGGCTTCATTTGCAACTGCGGATGACTACATTACCCCCGCTAGTTTGAAGTAGCGGGGTAGTGTAGACATACAGGGTGATTAAACACTGGAATAAATTGTCGAGGGAGGTTGTGGAATCTCCATCACTGGAATTATTAAAGAGCTGGCTAGACAGACACTTGTCAAGGATGGTAGATGGTGTTTGGTCCTGACATGAGGGCAGGGGACTAGACTCGAAGATCTCTTGGGGTCCCTTCCAGTTCTATGATTCTGTATGCACACACACAAAATTCCCTAGTCGAGGAGCTGAGTGCATGCGTACACACTCACATACAGAGGCAGGGGAACTAAGCACATGCACACACACATGCACACAAAATTCTCCCAGCAGCGGGAGCTAAGCACAGACAGGCACACGTGCACACACACACACACATACACCACAGGGGGAGCTAAGTGTACACACACACAAAATTTTTCCCCCTGCAACGGAAGCTGAATACACACAGGCACACGCACGTGCACAAACACACACGCACGCTTTGCAAGTGCCCAGGCCCTGGGGCAATCCCTCAGTGGCTCAGGGATCGGAAATGGCAATGACCCCGGGTCTGCAGCCTCTCTCACTGAGCCATTTCCCCGGCAGGGCTGACGGAGGAGGACAGCGTGTACGTGTTCAAGGAGGACGAGATGATCGAGTACGACGGGGAGTTTTCAGCCGACACCCTGGTGGAGTTTCTCCTGGACGTGAGTGACGTCCCCTAGTCCCCGTCCTGCCCCCCTTCCCCAGCTGGCCCAGAGACACATCTCCCTGCCTGGGCAAGAGCTGCCCGGGCACTTTGCTGCACGTTACACCCAGCGTGCTCTGGGCCGCTCACCTGGCGACCCCCTGTGGGCCTGTATCACCAACTCCACTTCCAGGGGAGAAACTGAGGCACAGGCACATGGTGGCTGAATGGTAGAGCTGGTAGTAGAACTCAGGAGTCCTAATCCCCTGCTTCAGTCACCAGGCCCTGCCCCCTCCCCCCCACCAATGCAGTAGCTGGAACCCAGGAGTCCTGAGTCTCCTGCTGGGGCCTTCCTTGCTGTGTCCTCTCCTTTGGCGGGAATGCAAATGAAGGCAGGCTGTGTGTGACCCACAGGCCTGGTACTTTGTCCCCATAGGCGGGGTGTCCCAAGCGGGTGCCCTGACACTGGCAGGCTGGGACGGTGCCACGCCCCTCCCTCCTTTCCCCCCTCCTCCTGCAGATCTGGGTCCTTGGGCATGGGGAGGGAGATCCCCGAGGCCCAGCCCTGAGCCCTCTCTGCCCCCTTGTAGGTGCTGGAGGACCCGATGGAGTTCATAGAGGGAGAACGTGAGCTCCAGGCCTTCGAGAACATTGAAGATGAGCCCAAGCTCATTGGCTACTTCAAGAATGAAGAATCAGAGCGTACGTAGGCGGCAAGCGGGGGTCCCTGTGCTGGTGGGAACCACCCTCCCCAGCGATCAGCTGCTGGGGGCTGTGAGCTTCCTCCAAGCAGTGCCAGAGCCAGTCATTAGCCAGCTGTCTAAGGGCTGCTGGGGAGGAGTGAATGACTGGGTAAAGGCTCCCCAATGGCAGGGCAGCAAGAGGCGCAGGAGATCTGGGGGTTTTGCCCTCCCTGGCCACAAGCAGTGGGCACAAGTGGTTGCCAGTTAAAGCACCTACAGAGAACCCCGGTCCCTGTGCTCCCACATGTCAGCTACAGGGCAGGGCTGGTATCTGCTGGGTGGCCACACAACCAGACACAGCCGCTGGGGGAGGTGCAGGAAGTGGGGCTGACAGTCGGAAGCACTCTCCTCGCTGACCCAGGGCTGTCCTCAGTGCCCAGCGAGGTGCTTGGGGGGAATTGTGTGGGACTCGGTAGGGGGTGCTCTCTCGTCCCATGCTGACCCCATGCCCCAGCACAGGGCTAGGGGGTGCTGTGCTGCATTGATGGCATTGCTGCCTGATGCCAGATGCAAACTAAACTCCTGGTCCCCTGTCGTCATTTAACATCTCATGGCACTTTTTGGAAGAGCTGAGCTGTCAAACCCCACTCAGGTGCTTCCACTGTCCCGCCTCCATCATCCCCATTTCCTGCAGCTTCACTTCCTGCTCTGAACAGTTGTGTAGGTATTAAACAGCTGCCATGCTCCACCCCAGAGGTGGCTGCCTTTCAGTGCTGAGTGAGCGATCCCTGTGCAGCATTGCTGTGCGCTGTTAAACAGCTGCCACACCCCCACCCCAGAGGTGGCTGCCTTGTAGTGCTGGGGGAGCAATCCCTGTGTAGCATTGCTGTGTGCTGTTAAACAGCTGCCACATCCCCCACCCCAGAGGTGGCTGCCTTGTAGTGCTGGGGGAGCGATCCCTGTGCAGCATTGCTGTGCACTGTTAAACAGCTGCCACGCTCCACCCCTGAAGCAGGGAACTCACCCTTTTCCGTGCGCTCCCGAAGACAAAGGGCTCCAGAACTGTTCCCTCATTGGGCCGAGCCCCTCCCTGGTGCAGCCCCAGTGCAGCGACATCAGGGCCAGTTTTGTCCCATCCAGCAACCAGGCCAAGAGCAAACTCTCGTTGTTGCGGGTTTGCATTCAGATGTGTTGTGAGCTTGCAGCCCAGCAGCCTGTGGCCAAGCCCCGATTGGCGCCTGCCATCTCGCTAGCATTAAGTGAGCTTAACCTGTCAGCCCTGGGGCTGTCACAGCTCCGCTGACCTTGAGCGGGGTGAGGGGCCTGGCCCTGGAGCTGTGGTGCTTGTGACCATTCCAGGCACAGTTCCCCGCCTGCTAAATAGGACACGTTGCATCCCCTAGGATGGGGGGATTTGCCTGCTCATTCTGGATTAACCCTCACTTCAGATCCCCCCTCCTCCACCAGCTTCAGCAATTCCACTGCTTTCCATGCCATTCTTCTCCTGCCAGGCTCCCCGCCCTGTTCCCCCCACCCCCTCCTGGAACCCAGTCCCAGGCTCCCTTGTGACAAATTCAGCTGGTGCTCAGCCAGATATTCACCTGGAATCTAAGGAGTGTGAAAGAGTCGGCACCTTTAAAATGCAGGAAACTCGGGTCTGACTGTACCTGTGACTGGAAGCAGAGCATGGTTCCCCTGTGGAACTCATTGCCACATGATTTCATTGATCGACATAAAGCCTTGGGCATTGATATGGTTGGCCCAGAGTCACGTGAGATGAGAAGAAAATAAAGACGAGATCAACAATAAACTCACCTGCTTCAGGGTGAAAAGTCACCTCTTATGGATGGGGCTCAGCAGGAGTAAGTTACTCCATAATTGCCCACTGGGTGGGGTCTCCTATTCCTTCCTGCAAGGCAGCTGGTACCGGCCGTTGCTGCGGATGCTTCGACAGGTTGGGGTGCTCCATGCTGTGGCATGGGGACTGTAATGACAACGAGCCCTCCCGGCTTCATTTGAATGTCCCATCCTTCTCAGCAGGGGTACCATCCTTCCCAGCAGGGAGAACACCTCCCCCAGCCCAGTGCTGCCCGGATCCCATGCAGCCCTGACCAGCTGCGACTTGCTTAGTTAAGGGAGGGGCCCAGTGCCAGGGTGCAACCCTCCAGTGCTGGTACCTCTTTTGGGGGTCGGGAGCCCTCGCAGGGTTAGCAGAGCACACATGTAGCTGGCTAATAAAACCAGCAGAAACCAAACCCAGCCACACGATTGTCCACGCCAGGGGTGGGCAGTAAGCTGCCCACGGGCTGGACACAGGCTGCCAGATGCTTTATGTACCTGCGCGTCCACATGCACGCTGGGAACGGGGCACTGCGGCCATTGGGTGCAGTGAGCAGCTGTACCTGCAGGTAAATAAAGCAGACGGCAGCCTGCCAAGGGCTAACCCTGGGGAACTGTGGCCAGCCCGTGGACCGCTTATTGCCTGCCCCTGGTCCAGATGGTAACGCAACAGGCCACTCAGCTTCCCTAACGGGGTGATTCTGTAGCTGGGGTGTCGGGGTGCTCAAGGTTTCCCCTGTTGGTGCTTGGGGGGGGCTGGAGGCAATGGGTCAGCAGAGACCCTGCGAGAGGAAAGTGTGCTCGTACCAGTGGAACTGGTACCCTGGGCTCCTTCCCCATCTGTGTGGCCTGGGACAGGGCCCTGCCCAGCGCTGGGTCTCGGTTTCCTGGCGGTGAGGGGTCAGTGGTGAATGGGGGAGCGAGGAGCGCTGTGGAGTTTGGAAGCCGTTTGATTGATGCCTTCACGGGTCGCTCTTTCAGACCACAGCGGAAATAGGCGTTGGTATATTGAATGGTTAGTTAATTGGCTGATCAATCAACACACCCAGTGCACGTCAGTCCTTTGAAGAAAGGAGGCACCCCCCCCCCACACTGAGAGAGAGCAGGCCTTTGGCCCCCTCTGGTGGCTGGCCTATGGCAGGAGATAAGAGTCTTCTACTGCTGCTGGTTAAGAGTCATGCTGTTAGTACCTGAGTGCAGTGCCTGTGAATAACCCACGTGTTCCGGGGTGGGAAGGGTTGCTGCTTTGGCCTCTTCTGTGGGAGATCCCAGCCCCCATGGCTCTATCTCTTTCAGATTACAAGGCCTACCTGGATGCAGCTGAGGAATTCCATCCATACATCCCCTTCTTTGCAACCTTTGATGGCAAGGTAGGAGTAAGGGGGAGGGGCCAGGCTAGTGACAGGGCAGGGCCGCCTGGGAATGCGAAAGTCTGTGTAACCTGCAAGAAGCAAAAGACCCTCATTTTGGGGGGGAGGGGATCCTTGGCTCTCTCTCTGCCTATGCCCTAGCTCTATGGGCAACTGCTGCCAAAGCCAACGGGGCTGTTGGCTGCTGGGGTGAGGCAGGGCAGGGCCAGACTTGCTGCCTGCTGCCAAGTGCCAGCGACAGTGGGGGAGGGGAGCAGGAAATCAGGGCCACCACACTCATCCCGCGGCAGCACAGTGTCCAGATGAGGGGATCCTTGGCTCTCTCTCTGCCTATGCCCTAGCTCTATGGGCAACTGCTGCCAAAGCCAACGGGGCTGTTGGCTGCTGGGGTGAGGCAGGGCAGGGCCAGACTTGCTGCCTGCTGCCAAGTGCCAGCGACAGTGGGGGAGGGGAGCAGGAAATCAGGGCCACCACACTCATCCCGCGGCAGCACAGTGTCCAGATCAGCGTGGATCGGCCCCCCCCCCTGGGGGGGCTGGCACACTGCAGTGAGGGAAGGAGGCTGGGGGGTTCCTGTGGGCCACGGGCGGCCCCCTCTCACTGGCCACCTGCCCGCACCTCGTCTCAGGTGGCCAAGAAGCTGACCCTGAAGTTGAACGAGATTGATTATTATGAGCCCTTCATGGAGAAGCCCATCACCATCCCGGACAAGCCCAACAGCGAGGAGGAGATTGTGCAGTTCATCGAGGAGCACAAGAGGTAGGGGGCCACCAGCCGCAGGACGGGACGGAGCTCCAGGATGGGCAACCTGGGGCTTCAGAGCTGGGGCTGAGACTCCAGACGCCTGGGTTCCAGTCTGACTCCCTGCCTGATCTTGGGAAAGCCACCAGGCCACTGTTTTCTGGAGTTTTGGGGGATCCCTGCTGCTGCTGCTAAGCACCTGACACCTGGGCCACTGTTTTCTGGTGTTTTGGGGGATCCCTGCTGCTGCTGCTAAGCACCTGCCCCCTTGGAAACCAGACCCCGTTCCAATGTCTGAAAGCGGGCAGCTGTAATCACCAGGCTTTAGAAAAACGGCCATTTTAAGCATTCCGTGCCTCAGTTTCCCCACTTGGCACTAACAGCCCCGCCCTGCTTCCTTGAAGTGAGTTCATGCATGACCGGCAGGGGCTCAGTGGCTCTGGCAATGGGGGGCACAGAAATATGGATGGGAAGGACATCAGGGAAGGCTGCTACCCATGGTGAAACCACCTCCCCTTGGCGTAACCTCAGCCACAGGGCCCTCGGTCTGCAGGGTCTGTCAGCAGGAGACTCTTGAAGGGCAGAGAGGCCAGACGCTCCCCCACCCCAGTGCCCCCATGGGCAGCCTGCGCTGGGGAACATGGTGGAGCTGACTGACGGGGCGCATGACCAGAATAGCAGGGGGGCTTCGTTATGCAGCTTCCCAGCTGGGCAGCCATGGCAACCACGTCTGTGCTCGTAGAGGAGGGTAGCAAGGGCAGCATGTCTCCAGGGGGGAATGGCACCCAGCAGGGCTGGGCTGGCTGGGAGCAGTTTGCTGCTGGGTGCGGCAGGGAGGAACTGATTATATAGAGAACACAGGGTGAACCCCTCAGCCCCTTGGCCTGTAGGGCTCTGCCTGGAACAGGCACCCTGATGGGATCCTGCCTAGAAGGCGTCTCAGGATGCCTCAGAGCATGGGCCAGGGGCCCCTTTCCTGTCTCTGCCAGCTGGGCTGGGTGAGTGGTGCTTACGGACCCTGCACCCATGGGGCCACAGGCGGGGGGAAGGGTATAGGGGTAGGTGGGCCTGGTGGGAGCTTATGACAGAGGACAGCTCTCCAGGGAGGGGCGAGGGTTGGTGCAATACAAGCAGTAGTGATTGGGTGTGGAGGGGCACAGCCGGTCGTGCCGTGGAACCAGCCAGTCACCAGGGGGAGTTACAGTCAGGCACAGGAAGGAGCTGCAGTGGGTTCATTTTGACCATAGAGGCTGGAACTAGGGGTGTTGGGGATGCTGCTGCTGCACCCCCTGGCTTGAAGTGGTTTCCATCCTACACAGGCTTTCTAGTTCATTCAATAGCTCTCACCCCCTCCATACAAATCGTTCAGCCCCCCTGCCTCCCCGATTTTGACCTACAGCTACAGTCGGTCACCTTGGGGAGTTGACCGGCTGTAGCTCCTGGTTACAACTCACGGCATGGGGGTGAGCTACAGCTAGTCACCACAAAGAGCTACAGCTAGTTGGGATGTTGAGCTGCAGTTGAATTTGATGGGGAGCCACCACTGGCTGCCATGGGGCATTAGTCTGTCACCGTGGGGCATTAGGCTGCCGCCATGGGGACTCTGTCGCCATGGGGAGTTAGGGTTGATGATGTGAGGGAGTGATCCAGGTGGAGATGTACAGCCACTCACCATGGAGAGCAGGGTTGCCCTGCACAGCTGTAGGAAGGCCGGCCCCACAGATCTTAGTTTTCCTATTGGATGCCTATGGCTGGGGCTGGGATAAACGTTTGCCCAGCCTGACAACAGCTCTGTTTCTATGGCTGCAGCCGAGCAAGGAAATTCTCCTGCTGCCATAGAAACATGGCACTGGGGTGGCGCAGACTCTGTCTACTAAGAGAGGGTTCGGCGTTATTTCCTGGGGGGGGGGTCCATGGAAGGAGAGCCCTCTTCCCCCCTAAAGGGACGCTCCTTCCCCAAAGCAGTGATGTGAGCCACTCATTCTCCCTGCCACGTCCAGCCACTCCCCCATCGTGGCCAGATTCACTCCCGTTGGGGGGGCTTTGCCCCAAGAGACGTCCTGCCCCTGCTCTCCAGTAGGGGGAGCAGCTGTGATTGCCAGCCGGCAGGGCCATTGGAGCTCAATTATTGTCTGCCCAAGCCACGCCCCCTCCTCAGATGGCTCCGCCCATTTTCCCCCAGCCAAGGCTGCCTCTGGAGGGCCCTGGTGGGAGAGGGTGTTTCTGCTACTTTGTCCCTCCGTGGTCTCCTCCTTGACAAAGTCTCCAGCACTATTGTCCTCCTCTGTGTCCCCTGTGGAGCCCTCCCAGCTGACACTCAACTCCCAGGCTCCGACCACTTAGCACTAAATAAATATCCCGTGGCATTTATGCAAGGAGTGGGGCTGTTATTCTGGGGGGCTGGCCTAATTCCCACTTGCATGGTTTGCATCCCCCACCGCACACGGTCAGGAGCAAGATCCCCCTTCATTTCCTGCCCTAAACTGCTGAGCTCGATGGCTGTTACACAGCAGCTGTGTCCCACCCCAGAGAGGGCTGCATTTCAGCAGCGGGTGAGTCATGTCCTACCCCAGAAGTGGCTGCATTTCAGCAGCAGCCCCAGCCTGGCCTCGGCCCACAGGGCACAGTGGATGGAGGCAGATGCTCGTGCTCTCTAAAGGGACTCCAGTGACCAGGGCTATGGAGCCAGCGCTAACATCCCTGCAGCATGGCGAGGGGTTTCTGTGGAGATTTATCCCATCTGATTCTCACTTATGCTGTCCAGCCCTGCGCGCGCGCACAGCGGGCCTCCCCACTGGGCATGGCGCCGGGTTCTGTTCCCATGGCAGCGGCACAGCAAGGCCTGCTGCACTGTCTCTACTTCCTGCTTCTTGCGGAGCAGCGTGTAGATTAGAGCAGCCTGGAGGCTGCTCCAGGTGACACTGGAGCTGCAAGCCACATTAACCCCCCTGCCCTAGTGCTGGAACTGAGGAGCTAAGCATTTGGGCCCTCTATTTCCAGGCTAGAAGGAGCCCCTCATGCTGGTCCAGCCTGACCTCACACAGGCCGGAGCAGCTCACGTCGTGACTCCACAGGTCTGTCGAGCTTCCTGGTCCTCCCAGCTACACGCCGGTGCAGGGGGAGCACCAGGGTTAGCAGCACAGCACCACCACACACACACTCAGCAGCTTGCATTTCTGGAGAGGGATGTTTCTGATACATTCTCCTGTCTGCCTCTTCAGTCTAATCCCCTCGGATCAAACTGCCGCTCCCCTCCCTCCCCCAACCAGCGACCTCAATGCAGAGCGGAAAGGGAGCAATTCAGGAGTGATGCCTCCCCTGCCTGCAGCCGAGAGGCCCAGGACCTAGGAGCACAGGCCATGGCTCTGCAAAGGGCAGTAGATTCCCCAGAGCCAAATCCAGCACGGAGCTGCCTGAGCCTCCGCTCTGCTTTTGTTCCATTTTACTGCCATGGTGCGCGGAGACCTGCCCCTCGCTCCCCGACTCATGCTAGACACTGGTAGATCAGGGACTTTGGTTGCTATGGTAGCTGCTCTTTATTCCATCAAATAGCTCACTAGTTACTTCCAGACTGGGTTGTGTTTGGTTTTGTGCTGCTGTGTTCCCTTTTGTGTTGCTCCTTCCCCCTTTGTCTCGCTCGCTGTCTCTCCAGCCACTACGTGCTGCAACATTTGGCTCTGGGTTCCAAGCACCCAGAGCCGAGCATTACACAGCCCTAGTGGCTGTGTTCTCCCATTGCAGGGGACGAGGACCGGACCTTAGGAGTCTCCGCTCTGTCTTCGAACCACACTCCCTAAAGCTGGCAATATGACCTAGGAGCCCGCATCCTGCTTCCTTTTGCTAACCATCGTGCTGCTTTTCAACCCTAGTGGGGAATAGAACCCAGGGATCCTGATGTGCACATCCCCTGTTGTAACCATTCTACAACTCTCCCTTTTGAAGTTAGAACTAGGGGTCACCAAATGAAACTAATAGGTAGCAGGTTTGAAACAAACAAAAGGAATTTTTTTTTCACTCAGCACACAATCAACCTGTGGAACTCCTTGCCAGAGGATGTTGTGAAGACCAAGACTTTAACAGGGTTCAAAAAAGAGCTAGATAAATTCAGGGAGGATAGGCCCATCAATGGCTATTAGCCAGGATGAGTAGGAATGGTGTCCCTACCAGTGTTTCCTATAAGCTGAGTGCTTGCGCAGCTACCCAAGAGAGATTTGGGTGACACCCAGCTGATTGGCAGAGCACCCGCAGCCAGCAGCATGTTTCTATTGGTGGTGCATATGTGCACTTGTCTTGGTGCACAGAACAAAATTTATTCCACACGTGGAAAATTAGAGGGGACGCTGTTTGTCAGAGGCAAGAAATGGGTGACAGGGGAGGGATCACTTGATGATTCCCTGTTCCGTTCAGTCTCTCTGGGGCACCTGGCATTGGCCACTGTCGGCAGAAAGGACACTGGGCTAGATGGACCTTTGGTCTGACCCAGTATTGAGCCGTTCTTATGTTCTTATGAGCAGAATCAGGCAACCAGGACTTTCACTCCCCTGCTCTGCCCAGAGACTTGAAACGCTAAGGAACAGTCATTTGCCACAAGCTTAGCAGCTGCTGCCCGACTACCCAGGGCATGCCTGATGGATGGGTGCTGGGTTTCTACCGGACCTCCTCCTTCACACACTCTCATTATCTTGCAGGTCCACCTTGAGGAAGCTCAAGGCAGACAGCATGTATGAGACCTGGGTAAGTCCAGAGCGCGCCTGGCCATCATGCATTGTGTAGCATTGTGGCATGGCCCTCAGGGGCACAGCTCCTTCCCAACCAGTGTGTCACCCACCCATGCATGGCACTGAACCTTCCCCATGAGCCCTGTAGGATCCCTCCAGCCCATCTTCCATCCCCAAAGGTTACACCGTCAATAGCATGGCTCCGATGCCTGACACTACGCCACGCCAAACCCTGGAGAACGTCTCCATCTCTGGTTTCTTTCAAATCCTGAGGTTCGTACTCATGTCTCCCATTTTCCTTCACTTGGGCAAAGCACCCATGGAAGTCACTGGGCCCAATCCCTTGCTAACCCCTTAACTCTCAGGCCTGATTCTCCCACTCCCGGTGTCTTGTACCATCATACAAAACAGGTTTGAAGTGTCACCAGATCAGCATGGGCTACACTTTACACCTGTTTTGCATTGATGGGTGTAACTGCACTAAGAGCTGGGCAACGGAGAAACAGGCCTGATAAGTGAAGAACTCAGCCAGGACTGGGTCCGTGTGTATGATCCTTAAAAACACACTTGTGAGGAGAGTCTTAGCTAACAAAGAGGGTGGTTCTGACAACATAAATGTTGCTCCCCTGGTTTATACCAACTGAGGATCTGCTTCTTAAAACCTTTATAGGAAAAAAAATCCATGTAGTCTCCCATGGAACTGGATACATTTATGCTCTTTATATAGCTGAATTGGGATAAATAGTCAGTGGAAGTTAGGTGCCTAATACCATAGGGTCTGGGTCTTAGTGGCCAGCTGCTTGGGCCTACCCAAAGTTACAGTTTGATGTGGGGGAGGGGTGGGGACCAGATATAGTAAAGTTTTTACAAAACTAATGTTAATAGAAATGGTTGCATGACTTTTTTTTTTTCTTATGTCCATCAAAACAATTTTCTGTTTCTTCAGCAGCTGAAAGGCAATAGCTTTTGGCAGGTGCAGGAAAAGAAAAAGTGAAATTGAGTAGACTAGAAAGTGGAATTGACTAGAAAGGGAAACTGGCCTGAAATTTGACAAGCAAGTGAAAATGAGCCGCATAAATTAGAAGTTTGGGATGCTCTCTGTTTTCACAACCAGCCATGGTGTCCATAGCACAGAGAAGGGAATTTGATCTCTAAACAATACAGGGTCCACATTTTCAAACTAAAATCAGGCACCTGTATCTATACCTAGGCAACCAAATAACTGGCCCGATTTTCCAGAAGCTCTGAATCTAACTTCAAGGGCAGTTCTGCACGCTCAGAAAAATCAGAGCACCCAAGATTGAAAACAGGGCCTCTAATTTTTAGCCTAGCCATGTCCCATTATATATTTCACATCTTTTTTAAATCACAAAGATGGTGGTGATTTTGTAAGATATTTTCCCCTTTAAAAGAATCTATTTTATCTCTTCCTTTCCTATGGGTGCCTATTGCTAATCTGCTTTATAGTACATTTCACAAATAGCTAAGAAACAGAAGCTGTATGTTTCCTGTATGTGATAGCCTATAGAAATAAACACTAACACTAAAATCTCTCTGGTCCTGTTATTTTCTGAGCTGCCTTGGTCTTTAGTTTGGAGGTGTTCTGTCTGTGTGTCTGTTGGAGGAAGAGGTTAATGTTACCAGGTATATGTCTGTGTGGAGGGGATGTATCTAGTATGTGAGTCTGTGCACATATAAGTGTGCTGCATGCGTGTATATGTATGTGCACTTTCTCTGTGTGTCTGGTTTGTGCAGGGTGTGTGTACATGTGATTGGCATGTGCATGGTGTGTTTATGTAAAACACATGCCTGGTAGGTGTGGTGTACTGGCCCATGGAGTGGCACTTAGACCACTTAAAGAGGAAAGGAAGAAGTTTGCTCTATAGCCTTAGCTGAGCGCCAGCTGGCTTTTAGCTCATGCAGTAGGGGCTCATACACTAAGCTCCAGAGATCCCAGGTTTAGTTCCGCCGGCTGGCATTACACTCGCAGAGCTGAGACTGTGTCAACAACTGACTGTTTCTTTGTGTGCAGCATGGATTCCTATAAGTAGTGTGCATGTATGCATGTGCAGAAGGCTGTGTACACTTGCCTAGGTGGGTGCATGCATGTGTACATATATCCAAATCCATGTATGCGTAACAAAGTAGGGGCACTTCCACAATGTCATGTGTGTATTTTGGCATGTGCATGTAGATTTCTGTGCGTGTCAATCTTTGGGTGCACCTGGTCAGTGGGTGTATTTTGCCAGACAGCTGTGAGCATGCGGTGCACAGGTGGCAGTGTATGGACATGAGTGTGGTGGTACAGGGTAGGTGGGAGTATGTGGGCAGGCAGTGTGGTTGGGATCTTCGGTATGGATCTATACGGATATGTCTCTACCAGAGTGTGACTGGGCTGTGCACATTTGCATTCAGGTGTGTGCTGGGCTGTGAATGTCTGTGCTAGGGTGGATGAGGGCTTGCACTAGAGTTAGCATTGGGGGCACTGATGAGTGTGCAGGGGGTGAATAGGGATGTGAGCTTGTTTTGGGGGGCTGTTTTGGGGCCGGTTCTGTTCAATATCTTCATCAATGATTTAGATATTGGTATAGAGAGGACGCTTATTAAGTTTGCAGATGATACCAAGCTGGGAGGGGTTGCAACTGATTTGGAGGATAGGGTCATAATTAAAAATGATCCGGACAAATTAGAGAAATGGTCTGAGGTAAACAGGATGAAGTTTAATAAGGACAAATGCAAAGTACTCCTCTTAAGAAGGAACAATCAGTTTCACACATACAGAATGGGAAGCGACTATCTAGGAAGGAGTACCGCAGAAAGGGATCTAGGGATCATAGTGGATCATAAGCTAAATATGAGTCAACAGTGTGGCACGGTTGCAAAAAAAGTAAACATGATTCTGTGATGCATTAAAAGGAGTGTTGTGAGCAAGACATGAGAAGTCATTCTTCCGCTTTACTCTGCGCTGATTAGGCCTCAACTGGAGTATTGTGTCCAGTTCTGAGTACCACATTTCAGGAAAGATGTAGAGAAACTGGAGAAGGTCCAGAGAAGAGCAACAAAAATTATTAAAGGTCTAGAAAACATGAGCTATGAGAATGAAAGAATGGGGCTTGTTTAGTTTAGAAAAGAGAAGACTGAGAGGGGACATGAAAGCAGTTTTCAAGTATCTAAAAGGGTGTTACAAGGAGGAGAGAGAAAAATTGTTCTCCTGGGCCTCTGATGATAGGACAAGAAGCAATGGGCTTAAACTGCAGCAAGGGAAGTTTAGGTTGGACATTAGGAAAAACGCTCTGTCAGGGTGCTTAAGGACTGCAATAAATTGCTGAGGAAGGTTGTGGAATCTCCATCACTGGAGATATTGAAGAGCAGGTCAGACAGACACCTGTCAGGGATGATCTAGACGGTGCTTTGTCCTGCCATGAGGGCAGGGGACTGGACTCGATGATCTCTTAAGGTCCCTTTCAGTTCTATGATTCGGGTTGGCATTGGGGGGCACTGATGATGAGTGTGCATGGGAGTGAATGGCAGTGCGAGCTTTCACTAGGGTTGGCACTGGGGCACTGATGAGCATAGACTCCGAGGGCTGGAAGGGACCCCAGGAGGCCATCAAGTCCAGCCCCCTGCCCAAAGCAGGACCAACCCCAACTAAATCATCCCAGCCAGGACGTTGTCAAGACAGAACTTCCATCTAGGGCTGGAGATTGCACACCCTCTCTAGGGAACCCATCCCAGTGCTTCCCCACACTCCTAAGGAAATCGTTTTTCCTAATATCCAATCTAGACCTCCCCCACTTCAACTTGAGATCATTGCTCCTCATTCTGTCATCTGCCACCACCGAGAAAAGTCTCTTTCCATCCTCTTTGGAAGCCCCTACAGGAAGTTGAAGGCTGCTGTCAAATCCCACCTCACTCTTCTCTTCTGTAGACTAACTAAGTCTATGTCTAGACTACATGCCTCTGGCGACAGGCATAGGAAAATGCTGTATTGTATATTATTGTATGCCTCCTGGGATGAGGTTTAGACCCTTTCCAATGTGACCACATCCTTTCTGTAGTGGGAGGCCCAGAACTGAACACAATACTCCAGATGTGGCCTCGCCAGAGCTGAACAAAGGGGAATAATCAGTTCTCTAGATCTGCTGGCAGTGCTCCTCCTAATGCACCCTAATATGCTGTTAGCCTTCTTGGCTACAAGGGTCCACTGTTGACTTATATCAAGCTTCTCATCCACTGTAATCTCCAGGTCCTTTTCTGCCAAACTTCAATTTAGCTATTCGGTCCCCAGCCTGTAACAATGCTTGGGATTCTTCCGTCCCAAGTGCAGGACTCTGCCCTTGTCCTTGTTGAACCTCATCAGATTTCTTTTGGCCCAATCCTCCAATTCATCTAAGTCACTCTGGACCCTCTCCCTGCCCTCCAACATATCTACTTCTCCCCCTAGCTTAGTGTCATCGGCAAACTTGCTGAGGGTGCAATCCATCCCCTCGTCTGGCTCATTAATAAAGATGTTGAACAAAACCAGCCCTAAGGCACTGCATTTGAAACCAACCACCAACCAAACATTGAGCCATTGATCACTACCTGTTGGGCCCGACAGTCTAGCCAGCTTTCTATCCACCTTATAGTCCATTTATCCCATCCACACTTCCTTAACGTGCTGGAAAGAGTTATAGGGGAGACAGTATCAAAAGCTTTGTTAAAGTCAAGGTAGATCGTGTGTGAATGCTGGGGGGGAGGGTGCCTGCATTTCTGTGCCTGCCGGGCTGTGGACGAGTGTGCAGAGCTACACATCTCCCAGCTGATCCCCTGGCCCGAACGTATTCTGCACCTCACTCCTGCCTGTTTGCATGGGGGTGCTGTCTGTGCCACATGCCGCCACACACACACACGCCCACACACACGAGCAGGCACAGGAAGGTGGACGCACCTGGTGACCGGTGACTTTCTGCTCCCCTTCCCAGGAAGACGACATGGACGGAATCCACATTGTGGCCTTCGCAGAGGAGGACGACCCTGGTGAGCGCTGCGGCTGGCGCAGAGATCCAGAGCAGCTGAGCAGAGAGCCAGGGGCACCGCCCCGCAGGGGTGCTCAGCGGGCCCGGGCACAGAATCCTCCGATGAGGGGTGCTGGCTGGCCCCTGGCTGGCCCCTGGGGGGCACTCTGACTGCTTCGTTATGAGGCTGCAGGAGGGTCAGGTGCCCAGCGCTCGGGCTAAGCTGTTCTGCAGAAGTCTGGCTGCTGGGAGAGGGGGAGAGGGCAGCGGGAGCAGGTGGGGCTGGTACCCCTGGAAGTTTGCGCTGGTGAAATAGACACATGAAGGTGGCACCAGGGCCAAAGGGCAGCAGCCTGTAGGAATCATGCTGTGTCTGTTCCACTGCAGCGTGGGTGGGCACAGCTCCCTCCTTCCCATGATGCTGCTGAGCTGGGGTGCTGAGGTGGTGGGAGCAGGAGCCGGGTGCCTGGGAAGGGGCTTTGGGGGGTGTTGATAAGTTGGGAGGGATCCGGAGCCCCACATGCTGGATGTTACTGCATAGGGAGAGGGAGGTACAGGTGGGGTGCTTGGCATGCAGTGGGAGGGAGATGGCTTGCGAGGCCCCTCCTCTGGGGTTCACAGAGCTCAGCCTGGCTCCCTGGGGCAGCGACCACTTGCCCGGGTCCCTCACCCGGCTGCTCTCTCTGGGCACAGATGGTTACGAGTTCCTGGAGATCCTGAAGGACGTTGCCCAGGACAATACGGACAATCCCGACCTGAGCATCATCTGGATCGACCCAGAGGACTTTCCCCTGGTACGTGGAGCCCTCCCGTTCCGGAGCCGCTCTGTGGCGCCAGGCTCCCTGGTGGCCAGCTCAAGGGACAGGTGTAGCTGCGGGCTCAGGGTGTGATCAGTGAGAGAACCTCCCCCCACCCTCCTGAGGGGCCTTTCTGCCCACTGAGGGACCACCCACCAGGGGCCCTGGCTGTAAGACCCTGCTCTGGCCTCTCCAGGTAAACAAAGATACACACATGAATTACAATCTTCAGGGTCAAAGGTAAGAGAAGCCGCTATCAAAAGCAAGCGCTGTATGTCCTGTAGGGCTAACCCAGTGGTCCCCCACCGGTAGATCTACAGGTAGATCTTCGAGCCTTTGACAGGTGATCCTGACTGGTTTGGCCAGGAGGCCGTCAAGTGCCTCTTCATCTGCCCCTCCTGCCCTCTGCCCTGGAGGTGCCCCCCACCCCCAGGAGTCTCCTGCTTGCTGTGTAGGGCACAGGAAGTAGAAGAGGGGGTGCTGATGTCAGGGTGCTCCTCCCCCCACCTGTACCCCACCTCCACAGAGCAGGGGGGGCAGGGATGAAGAGTTTGCTGGCTGCTTTTCTGAGTGGTGCGGGGCACCAGCTTAGCCCCACTGCACCACCACCCAGTGGTTCCCAGCTGGAGCCTGCATTCTGAACCCCAGCCCCAGTCCTGAATCCCTCCTGCACCCCAAACCCCGGCCCTAGCCCTGAGTCCTCCTGCATCCAAACTCCCTCCCAAGGCCTGCACCTTGAACCCCCTCCCACACTACAACTCCCTGCCCCAGGCTCAGCTCAGAACCCCCCTCCCACACTCCAAATCCTTTAACCCAAGACCAAAGCCTGCATCCCCCTTCCCCACACCCCAGCCCTCTGCCC